TGCTTCATACAGTCCACCGGAGGGCACCTGAAAACTTCCACTTTGCTTGCTCCCACAGAAGTCAGGTTGAATTGGCACATTTGATGGCTTCACTCTGCACTCTGTAGTTTCAGGGTCACAGCAAGGCTGTGAAAGGGAGTACAAGATGTCCCATGTGACTCTCCACTGCAGCTTCCCAAAACTCCTTCCTAGAATATGTATGATCCCACTTAATTCTTTGTAGTAGAGTGGCAAATATTTTTGGTTTAAAAAAAAGCAGATGGTGAAGCCAAGGACTTAGCTGTACCTCACAGGATAGAAAACACGGGCTGGGTACAAAGATGGACATGATAAAGGACAAAAATGGTAGGGACCTAACAGAAGCAGAAGACATCAAGAAGAGGTGGCAAGAATACAGAGAGAAATTATACCAGAAAGATCTGGATGTCCCGGACAACCCAGATAGTGTAGTCGCTGACCTTGAGCCAGACATCCTGGAGAGTGAGGTCAAGTGGGCCTTAGAAAGCACTTCTAACAACAACAAGGCCAGTGGAGGTGATGACATTCCAGTTGAACGATTTAAAATCTTAAAAGATGATGCTGTTAAGGTGCTACACTCAATATGCCAGCAAGTTTGGAAAACCCAACAGTGGCCAGAGGACTGGAAAAGATCGGTCTATATCCCAATCTCAAAGAAGGGCGGTGCCAAAGAATGCTCCAACTACTGTACAATTGCACTCATTTCCCACGCTAGCAAGGTTATGCTCAAAATCCTCCAAGGTAGGCTTCAGCATTATGTGGACCGAGATCTGCCAGACATACAAGCTGGATTTTGAAGGGGCAGAGGAACTAGAGACCAAATTGCTAACATGCACTGGATTATGGAGAAAGCCAGAGAGTTCAAAAAATCTACTTCTGCTTCATTGAGTAGGCAAAAGCCTTTGACTGTGTGGACCACAGAAAACTACGGCAAGTTCTTAAAGACCACCTTATTTGTCTCCTGAGAAATCTATATGTGGGACAGTAAGCAACAGTTAGAACTAGATATGGAAACACTGATCGGTTCAAAATTGGGAAAGGAGTATGACAAGGCTGTGTATTGTCTCCCTGTTTATTTAACTTATATGCAGAATACATCATGCGAAAGACAGGACTACATGAATCCCAAGCTGGAATTAAGATTGCCGGACAAAATATCAACAACCTCAGATATGCAGATGATGCCACTCTGATGGCAGGAAGTGAGGACGAATTAAAGAACCTCTTAATGAGGGTGAAAGAGGAGAGCACAAAAAAATGATCTGAAGCTCAACATCAAAAAAACTAAGATCATGGCCACTGGACCCATCACCTCCTGGCAAATAGAAGGGGAAGATATGGAGGCAGTGACAGATTTTACTTTTGTGGTCTCCATGATCACTGCAGATGGTGACAGCAGCCACAAAATTAAAAGACTCCTGCTTCTTGGGAGAAAAGCGATGAACAACCTAGACAGCATCTTAAAAAGCAAAGACATCACCTTGCCAACAAAGGTCCGCATAGTCAAAGCTATGGTTTTTCCAGTAGCGATGTATGGAAGTCAGAGCTGGACCATAAAGAAGGCTGACCATCGAAAAATTGATGCTTTTGAATTGTGGTGCTAGAGGAGACTCGAGAATCCCCTGGACTTCAAGGAGATCAAACCTATCCATTCTGAAGGAAATCAAACCTGAGTGCTCTCTGGAAGGACAGATCCTGAAGCTGAGGCTCCAATACTTTGGCAATCTCATGTGAAGAGAAGACTCCCTGGAAAAGACCCTGATGTTGGGAAAGTGTGAAGGAAAGAGGAGAAGGGGACGACAGAGGACGAGATGGTTGGACAGTATTATCGAAGCAACCAACATGAATTTGACCCAACTCTGGGGGGCAGTGGAAGACAGGAGGACCTGGCGTGCTCTGTTCCATGGGGTCAGGAAGAGTTGGACACGACTTAACTAAACAACAAAAGTCAGAACTCACTTGATGGCACACTACTGCTGCTGCTGCTGCTACTATCATTATCATCATCATCATCTAGCTGGGAACTCAATTAAAAGTTGCTGAGTCATAGCATTTAGGGAGACCACCATACCAAATAGTGAGATAACAATTTCCTCTAGATATTAATTCAGCCTGCAGGGACCAAATGCCACCTCCTAGTCAGGATTTCAAAGAAAATCCTGCCAAAATGATGCTCTGCAGGGCCTCATGTATATTGAAATGTAAGTTTAACGTTAATAAAGCTTAAGAGAACAAATGTAAGTGTTAAGGAGGTTTCTCTCCTGGTTCCAGCATCACTCAATGTTGTAACCAACAAAAACCAAAAGTCTTAAGTTATCCAAGAAAAAAAAATCTGGTGATTAAAATTTTAATGTATAGGATGGTCGTGAATTGACTGCAATTAGATTAGAGAAGCCTTACTAAGTGGAATTTGTATTGTTGAGTCCCTAGAGCCAGGACTATTATATATAAACATTCCAAAATTAAATGCACATAAACATAGGTTGTAAAGCACCATGTCTAGAAGAATGAGATGGAAGTTTTAAAAAAGGGTTGGAAACCTAGTCCTTAAAGGAGTCAGGCTATATTTGACTGGGAGAGCAGATGACTGAGAGGCACAACAACCTTTTTCAATATCTCATGGGCTCTCATTGGGAGAAAACACTTTCATCAACAAGAGGGCAGGAGCCAACCAATCAATTCTAAATGTTACCAAGCAGATTGAGACATAACATTAGGAAGAATTGCATCAGAAGACGGTGGACTTTCCATCAGTGGAAGGGTTTCAACAAAGGCTGGATGATCAAAGATGGCCTTTGAGGTTCCAAACAGAGTTATGATGTTAGAAGGAGGAAATCAAAGAAATTAGTGAACACTAGTAGCAAGGTTACAGTATCATACATACTGCCCTATGCCGATAATATTTATTTATTTAGTTCACATCCTTTCTACCTTGCGCTCATGGCAGCCCACAACAAGAATTGTAATAACTGTAAAAAGTAGAGATGGGAACTTTGTGCTTCGCTTGGTATCACAGGTGGTGTTGAGTTCCATCTCCCTCTGCCCAGGCTGCCTGGTCCACTTACCAGGCTCTGTATGCTATTGGGATCATTCTTTGGCAGCAGTGCTCCAATTTAGGCAGGTGCCCATCCAGCCTTTCCCTGCCTCCCCAGACAGCTACCCACTCACCAACTGTGTAGGATGACTTTTTGTCCTACTTCCTCAGTGTAACAGCCATGGGCATATAGGGGGCAAGGTCTGCTAGTTTAAGAGTGTGTTGAGAAAGAACAAGGAGCTTCAAGGGGTACAAACCATCTACAAGCATCCTTAAAGAACTCCTCGAAAAGATGGCCTCCTGAGCACTGAGCTGTCATAAGACACTGGACCATATAACTGTATGGAAAAGTGGAGTTATAGAACAGTGCAAGTGGGAGAGAAATGAAGAAGAGTGAAAGAAATTCTCCACTTCTTAAACCTTAAAGCACTATTCCTTAAGGTCTTCCTTAAATCACTGATGTGAAATTATTGCTTCTGCAAAGTACAGTAGTCTGAAAAGAACACACAGCTTAATGGGCAAGTTTGAGATCCAAATGCAGTCCAAGTTTTCCAGACACTAATGCTCTCTCTGCTCTGCTCAATGATAAACACACCGAAGAAAACTAAGTGCAACTGTGTAATTTTAATTGAAAGTCAATTAAAAATTAAATACTGCACTGCTCAGAAGAAAATTCTGAGGACACAAGGGCAAGAATAAACATGACATCTATGTCTGGAGTTTTAAAACCCTTTTATAATGAAATAATAATAATAAAATTTAGAGCTAGTAGTTGTGGCTTTCACAACAATAGATCATAACTTATCAACATGAAGTTGACCAGTAGCTATTGCCTTATTATCAAATTAAGGCTGATGCACACAGTGCTCTTTCTATTCCCAGAATCTCTTCCACAACTAATCAAAGTACGGCTGGGCACCTCTGGCCAGACCGTGTACTGATCCTATAACGTTTAAGCATTTTTAAAGCTTTAGCATGAGGAAATAGCAACAAGTATCTAGTCTAATGCTGATTCTAATTACAAAAACAAAACAGAGATGTGATACTAAGAAACTAAGAAAACTTAAAAAGGGGGAGCAGAATCCAACTAGAGAAATGATAACAGAGCTTTTTGATCAACCAGACACCAGTGTCTGCCTGATAAATTATAGTGAATTCTTAATACTGCTTGTTCATGTTTCAGCCAAGCATGTGGACCAGGCTGAATGTACAGACCAGGTACCCCTCGTCACTATCTCAAAGAAATTTCTGTTTTGACAAAATGCAGTAATATTTCCAAGGAACATATCTGCAAAGCTGACAGGGTCTGGGAAACTTTCTAGCTGAGGCCTCAAAAGAATGAGAAACAGAATAATGCAAATGGGGACTCACATCACAGAATGCTCTTCAAAACACATACAAAAACTCTCTCTCTCTCTCTCTCTCTCTCTCTCTCTCTCTCACTCACTCACTCACTCTCCACAGAAAATGAGGGATCAATGGTATAAGCCAAAAACAGAATCGCTGCCTATCACAGGAAAAACCAGGAACAACTAGCATGATCAAGAATTCTGAAGACTCTTAGGCTCCATTTAAAAACAAAATTGGGAAACCATAACTTTTATGGATATCAAGAATATCCAGAAAAGGTACTGTATGATACAGAAATAAGACAAGCTTGGGATGGGTAGAACAACCAGTTTCCTTTTCAGTTCCGAACTCCTTCCTATGTAATGGCACACATAATGATACTTGGACTCCCAGTCCACAAGTAGGAGGTGGGAATGAAAAAAAAATGAGAAAAACAGGTGAGACATAATGAATTATAATAGAGAAAAATTACTTCCCCCCCCCCTTTTTCTTCTAATATAGGGATGTTTAAAGGTTGTGTGTTGTACCACTTGTTGAAATTATAGGTGGGAATCAAACATAAATGAAAGGCAGCATTTCAGACAAATAAGGTACTCACCCCTGGCTGTAATCAGCATGGTGAAATGCATCCAGTTCACGAAACAGCATTGATATAAAAGAGAGAGAAAATTATAGCTCAGAATGGTTTACAAGACATCACAAAGTCTGATGGATTCCACATCCATCAAAAAGTCCATTAAAAATAAGATTAAACTGTATTTTCCTTTGCTTCCCGTTGCAAGTTAGACTTGTTTTGTGGCACACTTAAGCCCTGAGGATGAATTTTTAAAACAGATGCCATAATACACAAAGTTACCATGTTTCTCTGAAAATAAGACAGGGTCTTATATTAATTTTTGTTTCAAAATTGCATTAGGGCTTATTTTCAGGGGATGTTTTATTTTATTTTTTTCATGTACAACAGTCTACGTTTATTCAAATACAGTCATGTCATCTTATTTTGGTTGCTGCACGGCGATGGAGGGTGGGGTTTCACTTAACTGGTGAGATGGAGGCTGGGGTTTCACTTAACTGGTGCTTATTTTGGGGGTAGGGCTTATATTATGAGCATCCTGAAAATCATACTAGGGCCTATTTTCAGGTTAGGTCATATTTTCGGGGAAACAGGGTATGTGAGTGCCAACATTCGGGCTAATCTGCACCCGTGGTTACTGCACTGCAGAAAGAATAATATACAGCTAGGAAAAGATAAAAATGAAAAGGAGTGAGTGCCAACATTTGGGCTAATCTGCACCTGTGGTTACTGCACTGCAGAAAGAATAATACACAGCTAGGAAAAGATAAAAATGAAAAGGATCAAAATACCGGAGCAAACCTTTTCACTTGGGCAATAGAAGGATAACTAAAAGATCTGTATGGGTATATGAAATTATCAAAAGGTGAGGAAAAGCAAATAGAAATTTCTCCCTCTCAATGTTAAGGCTCAGGAACATCCCACAAAATCAACAGACTGAGGGCTCAAAAGGCTTTCTCCAAAAATTCATTGCTAATCTATGCAATATATTTCAACAATATGTGGCAGTGGTTTTAAGATAGTAAGGAAGACTAAATTCCTTACTATTCATTTTTTAATCAATGAAATCTCCTTATTCAATAGTAGGTTGTGTGGCCAAGCAAAAGATGGCTTCTTCTGTTATGCCCGCTTGATGAGCTCTCCAGGAACAGCAGGATGGCCAGTGCTCGAGAGAAGCGAAGAAACAGAAAAGCGTTTCATTTAATCCAGCAGTGTTGTGTTTGTGCAGAAAAAAAAGTCTGCTCCTTGTCAACAGCGTGTACCTAGTTAGCAATCCATCAGTCACATGAGTAAATAATGCAGAGAAATTGGCTTTGACTCCCTGGTGTATGTCCATGGTACACTTATAGAAATAGGCTTCCCCTTCCAACACTAGGCAGTTCATAAAAAGACATGCAGCAAACTAGTGGCAGCCTTGCTGTCTGCAAAAGGCGTGACTCACCTCTTTGCCTTAAGTACATCACTTACATTTGGTTTGTGCAGTTGAGAAGGTAAGAGTTAGCTTGGCAAAGAGCTCCTCATTCTCAAAACGATCCTCCTTCGCTTTGACCCAGAAACAGTCTTCAGACAGTTGCTGAGCTGTAATCTGTAGGGGTGGGAAAACAGACAGAAGTTCTGACATATAGGCACCTGAACAATATTACTTTTTCCTATGGTGGATTCCTAGTTTGTTTTTAATGAATTGACCTCTGTCAACTTAAAAGTCTAACAAATTTACCATGATTTAAGAACAGATCATGTTTCATTATTTTTAAAAAGTGATGTAGTAAGGTGTACAGTCATAGCATAACACCAATATTCCCACCAATAATGCAAATGGGTCATAATTCTTACTGTGTACACATTTGGTCTCTGAAGGTAAAATGTTGCCTCTTACACTTCATGGGTGTGTAAAATTTTCATCTTCATTTCTCTATATTAAAATGTATATAGCACTGCCCCCTAAGGGGTCCCGGAAGGCAGAATATAATTAACTAACTAAGTTATTAACTAACAAGCAAACAAACAAACACTGGAAATGGTCAAGTAACTAAGGAAACATTAAACAGTAATAAATAGAAAACTGAATAATAATAAAATCAGAAACTAATTAAGTGACTGGAGGTAGAAACAACTTTAGTTATGAAAAGGCATTAAAAGTGGCAGTCTGCCAAGCATGAAAAGATTGATCAGGGAGATGCTAAGGGAGTTAATTCCGTAGTCAGAGTGCTGCTATATGCCCTTCCTGCCCACTGACCACACAGAGAATGACTAATAGAGTTGGAAAGGGCCTACAAAGCCATCAAGTCCAACCTCCTGTTCACTGCAGGAATCCAAATCCAAAGTATATCTGACAGATCTAATTGTCTTTTGAATGTCTCCAGCATTGGAGCACTTACCACCTCCCAAGGTAATTGGTTCCACTGGTCTACTGATCTAACAATTAGGAAGTTTCCCCTGATATTCAAGCGAAATCGGAGTTGGAAAGGACCTACAAAGCCATCAAGTCCAACCTCCTGTTCACTGCAGGAATCCAAATCCAAAGTATATCTGACAGATCTAATTGTCTTTTGAATGTCTCCAGCATTGGAGCACTTACCACCTCCCAAGGTAATTGGTTCCACTGGTCTACTGATCTAACAATTAGGAAGTTTCCCCTGATATTCAAGCGAAATCTGGCTTCTTGTAATTTGAGTCCATTATTATTGTATTTTTCCATGTATAAGACACCCCCATGTATAAGACGCCCCCCCATTTTTCTTACCCAAAATTTCTTTCTTTGCAAGAAAGTGGAGGGGGAAAGCGATTCCTGCTTTCCCCCTCCACTTTCTTGTGAGGAAAGTCCTTTTCCCCTCCATTTCCTCTGCAAAATGTGGAGGGGAAAAGCAGCTTTTTGCAACGAAAATGTAGGGGGAAAGCAGAAATCGCTTTCCCTCTCCATTTTCTTGCGAGGAAAGTAGAGGGGGGAAGCAGGGATCAAAATTCTTTGATCCCTTCCCTCCTCCTTACTTCCATGTATAAAACGACCTTCAATTTGTCATCTAATTATTTTGGGGGAAAAGTGTTGTTTTCTACACAGAAAAGTACAGTATGTGTCCTGCACTTGGAAATGCTCGAGAACAAATCCTGCCCCTCTTCAGTACGACAGCTTTTGAAGTATTTTAAGAGTGCTGTCATCATGCTAATCTTAAATCTACAGAGCTTGAAGGAGAACCTCTTCACAAGATCTCAGGCAATGAGATCAATCTGAGAGCAGATAAAGCAGATCCCAAACCAAACCTAGCATATGTGCATATGCACATATTTCTAACTGTCAAAAGCAACACTTCACAAAGGCTATACTAAATACAACAGTATTACAACATTTCCTCTGTGCCTCTGCAAGTTATCAGGTGTATTTATGCATCTGAAGAAATGAGCTATGGTCTACAAAGACTTCTGCCAAAAGAAACTTCTTGCCATTATTAAAAACTGACATTTCTAAGGTACTGCCCGGAAAATAAATGATTCCATAACAAATGGCAGTACATGCATAAAATGGTTATATGTACTGGGAAAGGAAGACAGAAAATCCCTGTGTGCAGCTAGCGCGATACCACAGGAATAGCATCAGGCTGCTGATAAAGCTCTCTTTTCACAGCCACTAAATGTTAATCAGACACTATATGGAAAAAAAGGAGTACATTTCACTCATCACTGGCAAACTAGGGACCTCAGATGATTGGAGGAAAGGGCAGAGTCAGCACTGTGGAGGAAGCAAATCTAGGAATCAGCTAGCAGAACAGCACCTTGGACCAGTTAGTTCTCCGCAGCTGAACTTCTGGCTTGTAAAGTTTCTTTGGAGTCAATCCAAATGGAAGAGCTGGAGCTGCAATAGCACCAAATCCAGGTGGCATAGGGGGAGGTGGCACCCCAGGCCCACCAAGGGGTGGCGGTGGAGGTGGTGCTACCCCAGGCAGAGGAGGTGGAGGTGGTGGCATTCCTGGCATCCCAGGAAGAGGAGGTGGAGGCGGTGGCATTCCTGGCATCCCAGGAAGAGGAGGTGGTGGAGGTGGTGGTGGAGGCACTCCTGTTCCTCCTGGAAGAGGTGGCGGAGGAGGTGGCATGCTTGTTGCTCCCTCCTGGCACCCCAGGAAGAGGAGGAGGTGGTGGTGGTGGTGGAGGAGCTATTCCTCGCATCCCAGGAAGAGGAGGTGGTGGTGGTGGTGGCATTCCTGGCATCCCAGGAAGAGGAGGTGGTGGAGGTGGTGGTGGAGGCACTCCTGTTCCTCCTGGAAGAGGTGGCGGAGGAGGTGGCATGCTTGTTGCTCCAGGAAGTGGAGGCGGTGGTGGAGGAGGTGGAGGCACAGGAAGAGGGGGAGGAGGAGGTGCTGGCTGTCCTTCAGATGAAGAGGCAATGTGTTCTATTTTCTTCTTCATATCTTCACATTCCTTTGTCAGTACCACAATCTAGATAGCGAGTAAAGAGGTAGAACAAATAAGGTGTACAGAGCATCACATTTCCAAGCCAAAAAAAGGAACAGCTCTCTAAAGGTGAGAGATTTAAACAACAATGTTACTTTCTTGACTCTTCTTTGTAAACTTGACATTTGGAAAATGTTTCAATACATACACCACGACACAAATAACTACAAGGCCTCCATACATCTAACTTTGACTCTGCCTAATGAGGGAGATGTAGAAAACAAGGTGGTCATATTAGGGCCACATCAAAACTATTCCACACCCACTTGGATGACTGTAACCTCTGTTACAGCTTAAGTCCTTTCTTAGCAGACTTTCAGTCTTGTGTACTTTGGGTAGTATCGAACATTAAGCTAGTGTAAAAAGAGTCCACAGTGTTCCAATAGTTGTTGTGTTGAGCAATTGCTGCAAGCAATACCTAATCAGATGAAATCCAAATGAAATGGCTTCCATAGGTATCTTAGAATGTGGCTCATCATAATTGCTGCTACATCATGTACTGTGGGTCCCCATCCCCAACATTCCTTCCATTTTCCCCCAACCCAGTTCATTCTACACTGTCTTTTGTCACACCACATTTCACTGATACACATACAGTATGCCACATATACAGAACAGCATTCCATTTGTATAGTTTAAATGCATTTCTTTTTCATTTCTAACAAGACTCCTCCATTCAAAATAAGTTCCTTTTTACAACATATCTGTACGATTATGGCTTTTCTGCCTTTAACCTTTAGAGCCTTCATTTTCTTCATCTTTTTCCCCAGATAACAATAATTTATTCAAGGTTCCACATATTACTATTAAATCTAAGATGCTGCAATTTCATCATGGCACCAATTTATTTTGCAGTATTTGAAGTGGTTGATGGATAAGCAAAATACATAACTAAGGTATTTAAATTAGCCTATCTTATTTGTCAGATTTAAGATTGATCTGAAGACTGACTGATTACAATCAGTTGAAAGAATAAGTGAGGGTTTGCTATCTGTCTGTCTCCTGATCTTTTTCCAGGTATATCACCTTTTGCTCATGTATCTAAAAATAAAAGTATTGGTTATTTCTAGGTTGAATTTCCTACAAAATTCCTACAGACACTCCCCATCACTCATTTATTCCTCACAGTCCCAAATAACTACATTTTCTCCTAATTTTTTCACCTAACCTGGAATTCCTCTCTCTCATTATCATAGATTCTCGTGTCTGTCAGTTTTTAGTTAACTCTTTGATTCAGCTAGATATTAATCCCATCATCATAGCTGAAATATACATAAATTATTACCATGTCTGTAACATGTTCTCCTTATAATATATCTTTCAGCATACCTGTCAACCCCATTATAGTATACCTTCTTATCTTTCAGTGACAGAAATCTTTTTCCTTCAAACATTCTCCTCCTAACTAAATTTGTGGTTAAATACTAAAGTGACAGGTAAGATTTATTTATTTATTTATTTATTATTGTATTTATACCCCGCCTATCTAGTCATTTCGACCACTCTAGGCGGCTTACAACAAAGATGTCTTTGATGTGATCTCTACAACACAGATTCTACAGGACTGGAAAGTGGGCTCCTTAGAATCTGTGTAAAGAGAATATATGTCACTGATTCCCTCTGTCCAATACAAATCCAGGTGATACTTATATTGTGTGCTCTGCATCTTCATCCCACCCCCCTGGATATTACCTCATCAACCAGCTGCGAGTTAGCAGTTTCAAGATTTTGCTTCTCTGTGGTAACCTGTTGTTTTTCAACTTCCATGGTTTCTTTTTCTTGAAGTAAATCTTGGATTTTCTGCTCAAAGTCACTTTCCTTCTTTTTCATTTCAACTTGTAGTTCATGGCGTGCAGTCAGCTCAGAATCCAGCTGAGAAGATAAAATAATATATGCAGTAGTCATGTCAATATATTCTGTGTTAGTAAGGCTTCAAGCTACTGACTATGTTCATTCTGGGTAATATAACCCTGCTCAGATCAGAACAGACTAAAAGGACAAATGGAGAAAGCTGTTTTTGTTGAATATGTATTGGCTTCTATGAACAGAATTTGTTAACAAACTACGCTGGTCAGGGACGAAAAGGTAATGGGCAAAAGCAAAAGCAGGAAAATATTAGGTGCAAAAAAAGTATTTTGCAACTTCTGAAAAATATGAGCTAAAGCAAGCTTGACACTAGATGAAAGTGGTCTTTCAAACTATGCTTTGCATTTAATGCATCATTAGTGTTAGAGTATGGAAAAAATATTCTCCTAATCATAGTAGAAAGTCAGGGTGAACTTTTCATCTCTATAGGAAGAAAAGGGAAGGACGCTGCCCGAATCCTTCCTTCACAACTTAGATGTAGTTGGTTGTCAGCGTTGCTCTTTGCATCTGGAATTGCGTCATGCCACTGTGGATTTATGCTGTAAATCACATGGGGTATAGATTTTTAAATTAAACCCAGTTAGCTGAGCAACAGCAATTTTACTCCCTTAGCAGACTGAAGGTGCAAGAAGTCCTTGCTCTGTCCAAAACATTATGTACTGAAAGTATCTATCTGGTCACATTCATGCACAGTTACTGTATGTAAGAACACTAGTCCCTCTGTCTCAGCAATGCTTCCACAGATCTCAGGAGGAGATAATTCTTGGTCTGGCTACCCAACATCCTTCCACTGAAAATTTCAGAGACTTTTTGTAGAAAGCTGAGCTATGACCCATCCCTGCATTAGTGTAATTTTTCAAAATTATTACTCTTAGGCACTCACAAATTTTCACCTTACCCCATTATACCCATTAAGCAAAGGATTTCTATTTTTGTGTGGAAGTTTTGTGGAAAGAGAATGGAGGAGAAAAAAACTGGCTTTTTATTTTAAAAAATTGAAGCTACGTTTCTGATGTGATGGAAAAATCTGGCAAATGGGAAATATCTGAAGTTTTGAAGTGGCAGAACAATTATGATGGAGGGAGTCACATGTCCTTGAGCATCATTTGTGAAGATTATACCCCTTTGGTAAATGTAAATTCGTATCTGTTCTGGAGCTATTCTGCATCTCTTTGTCTGTATCCATGCACTCAGTATTTGTTCTGAGAGCAATTTATCTTGTTGCCTCAACCTTCTACCCATTGCCAGCCTCCCCACTTTTCAAAGGCTGATACTGAGAAACAACACAGTTGGGTGTATGTACACACATATGTCCCTTCCAACCTATCCCCATACATGAGGCTCTGGCCTGTCACCTGATACGAAGCCGAAAAGGTTGCTAAGCTCTGGTCTAAATGGTAAAGACACAGAAATGATTGGAAAGAAGAGTAGTAGTGGATAAAATAAAGAACAAAATAAGGATTAATTTAACACATTTATATATGTATTCATATAAAACCTGTACATCATACAATGATTGATTTCAGACAAACAAACCGTCACCACTGGCTTACAGATTCTAACAGTACAAGACAATAAAAGAAGAGGAAAAGAGAAGCAGCAGCAGAGATTAGAGTCAGAAAGCTCAGAAGAACAAGTACCTGGAATTGCAAGGAGAAGGGGGTGTGGATAAAAGGAGACAGCAGATTCCATGCAGAAGCAGGAGCAAAAGAGAAAGGGGGAAAGTGTGAAACAAAGTAATCCACAATTTAATTAAGAGGAAGGTATTAACAAAGCAAAGCCAGGTACAGAAAAAATAAAGGGGAAAAAGGCTCTTAAAACAAAAAGCAGAGATTCTAGATTTGATAGGAACTATAAAGGACAATCTAAAAAAAATAGGAAAAAGTGAAGTGGTTATAACCTTCTTTTCCAGTTCTATGGCTTTAGCTTCACTTCTTGCCACCTTAGTTTGATCGACCAGGTTATCTACCCAAAAAAGCAGAAAAAGAGCATAACATGAGCATCATAGTCAGTGGGATAGTATTGGTCGAAGGACAGTCTTCTTAGTCGCTACACCTATAACCCAGTGTTCATTTTCCAGACAGTACCCATCCTTGATTGTTTTGACTTCTAGATACAGTCAGCACTCATCTCTTTCTGTCTTCACCCGTCTTACATTCAGGCTCCCTTTCCTTAAGCCAATGCTGTTTGCATAACTGATTCTGCTGGAGAGAGATCATTCTTCCTACCTCAGTAGGAAAGAGGGCCCACACTGTGTGTGAAACTGCCACTGTTTTGCATTAGTACAGTAACTGACAAGCATGGGGTACTTTACACTCAGCTTAAGGAATAAGTAAGACATTTTGTGTCAAGATATCTGCACGAAACAGAGCTCACGTCTGCTGCTCATATTGGTTATAAAAATTAAACACCCTTACATCTTTTTGCTTGCTCTATGTGACTTATTTTTTTAATGGTGGAAAAGGGGAAAGCTTTATAGTGCTGTAGTGGCATTTCAAATGGGGCAAAAATTAAGGTTTTGTTTTTTTACTGTCAGCTAAAGGTATAGCCATCTAATAGCAGAGCAACCCATACCCAGACTCACCTATTAGGCCCTCAATATTGAAGTCAAGATGCTTGCACTTGAAATCTGGATCAGCACCATTCTTGTGAAGGACTATCTGTGAAATGCACTCATCAATCAGCTTGAAATACTGAGGCCTAAGGGCAGAAAAAAGGGAAGAAGGAGGTGTTTAGTGATGACATCCAGAAGTACAAGCTCTCCATAAAGAAATATTCCATGTTTTGACTATACAAAATGGCCTATTGCATTCTCACAGACCTATGAGAGAAGGGACTTATTATTGCCCACACCAGAGGAGCACTTTCCTACTGAAAATGCTGCTGCTTAATTTGCCCACTGCCCGACACCCTCTTGCTTTACTTTGCTAAAGTTCAACATTCCTATTCACTGACCAGCTCTGGTTCTCTCATGCCATGTTATGAGATGTTCTCATCTTTAGGTAAACGTACTTTCTAAGCAGCATGCCGGGCCCTTTTCCGCAACGAGGTATCTGATACACTGAATGGCCACCTCATCCATGTATCTTGAAGCAGTAGTCTACATTCTACCTGTCCTTCTAGAAAGAACATGATGAGGGTCCTCCCAGATAACTTTTGTTATTGGGGGTAGATTAAGAATATAATATAAACAACAACAAAAAGTCCCTTATCAGTATTTTTTTTCAACACTATGGAACTTATTCACCTGGCCTCATAATCATTGCGAATTAGCAAGAGGTGCTGCAGAATAGAGAGAAAATGCTGCTCTGCCTTCGAATCCTTTACAGTGTTGAGGAGAATCTGGAAGACTTCATTGAAGTCGGTAAAGAACAATGGTTAAGGATACAAAGACTATTTGAAAGTAACATAGGCACACAGATTGGATTACTTGGAGAAAAAGAATTAGCCTAGCTATGAAAATCCTTTCCAGAGCCATCTAAAACCTAAAATAAAACCCACTTTCACCAATGGTAAAGCCTTGAATGCTCTACAGAAGTTTGGCTGTAATTATTATAGCAGTGTATCTCTCTCCCTGCATATTCAAAAACAGAAATTAAGGCATTGTATTCTTAATACAAGGTTTAAGATTTCAAACACATCTCATTTTCTGTAAGAGCAGATGGCCTATCTCTACAATTAAAGTTTGATATGGAAGGGTGGATTTGGCCACAAGTGAAAAGTTACATGTTGTTCTGTTAAGGCAGTGTTAGTCAATGTCTCTGGTTCATATTTCATTTGGGAAGGTTATGCTGAACTTTATATTTTATTGGTGATGGTGGTTGGTATTGCTGAAGCATGTCATTCTGATAAATGAATACAATTATTTTTAAAAAATCAAATAAATGTTGATTTTCATTGTACTTTTGCCAATATATTTGCTTCAGAGGTCCTCTGGTCATGAAAACCACAAGGATCTGCATCACATCAAATATAAAAGTGTTTCTCCCTATTCTGCCCATGGTTTAAATCACCCTCACCAAGACTATCTCAAGCAGCCTCTGCTATCTTCTTCTAACCCCCCTTTGCCCATACTTCCCTCTCTGCTTCCGCTAAGGCTGCCAAGTTCCTCAGAGCTCACAGCTGGACACATCTGATAAGTAATTTTCTTTAATTTACATGTGCACGAGAGGAACTATGTCTCTTTTGTACTAATGCTGCAGCTCTCCACATGTGTACGCCCATGCACACACAGCATAGTCACAGCTGCCTAAACTGAAGTCTGATCCCCTCTACTAACCAAGTAAAAAAGCGGCCACTGCCAAAGAGCCTCATGGTGCAGTGGTTAAACCACTGCACTCTGCAGCCAAAACTGTGCTCACGACCCAGAGTTCAATCCCAGGTAGCCGGCTCAAGGTTGACTCAGCCTTCTATCCTTCCGAGGTTGATAAAATGAGTACACAGCTCGCGGGGGGGGGGGGGGGGGGCAATGTGCAGCCTGCATAATTAACTTGTGAACTGCCCAGAGAGTGCTTGAAGTGCTATGGGGCGGTATATAAGCAGCACGCTTTGCTTTGCTTTTTGTGTTTTCCATGCCTGTGTTAAGAAGACCAGAAAAATGCATATAATGTGGTACAATCCATATTACATTATAATTCACTAGTATTTTGTTTTTTAAAGACAGGACCTGTGCCCCAATCAACTATCATTGAGAACAGGAAGATCTCCCTATGCAACACTAAGCAGAAGAAGGATATTCCATTTCTATACGAATGTCCTCTAGTCGACCTCTGAGATCTGCAGAATCTTCTTCACCACATTCTTCAAACACCTGGAGTTGCACTGTTAGCTCTTCATTGTCTTGAGCACGAAGCTCCTACAGAAAGAACAGTCACATCAGTGGGTGCCCACCTGCCATCATCACCTATAGCTATTGATACAACGCCCCATCCAGGCATCCTATCACTGGACAATTACTGATTCATTCTTTCTCACAATCCACTTGTTCCCTACTCCTGTAACACTGATTAATTAGAACCATCCACAAACCACTGAAAAGTGGAGAGACTTCCCCTCGCTAGTTCTGTCTCTGCCCTACCATCCAGGCATTGATCACAATATGACACACTTGTACATACAGTCAATCTGTATGATGGGGGAGGGGGGAAGCAAGGCAGTTGTGTCACTTTTTAATAATAACAGAGCTATTTCAGTATGAGCTTTCATGGACTACAATTCACTTCTCCAAGAAGCATGGAGTATTACAGGAGCAATGCAATAAACAATATTGGTGTGGGGCCAGAAGGACATGATTCTACTTTCCCCATGTGCATAGAATATGTATGGAAGCACACATTAAAGAAGAACTAACAAGGTTGTCCCTGAAATCCATTTCAATGAAGAGGCTCAACATTTGCTCAAGCAACCCAACTGTAGGATTAACTACATACATGAATTAGTGTTAAATATTCTTGTGAAATCTGACCTGCTGGGAAACTGCTTCACAAGTGCAAGTCTTCAGGACACTCTACACAATGCAGTTTGCTTACATGTTCACATAGGGCACTGTGGTGTCAGCGTTCATCTCTCCTTAAACACAGCAAATATGAGATGGCAAGAAAGTCAGGTGCTTCTCACCTTGAGGATCTGCTGCAGTCCAGAACGCATCAGTTCACTGCGGATGTGAACTCTGAAGTCAAGCTCATCTGCTGGAGTGATCAGGGCGTTGATCAACTGTAGACAGGCCACCTTTAGGGGAGGAGAATGGAAGATGGGTTCCATGCCACACAAGACCTAACGAATGCTATCTATGCCCTCAGAGGAGCAAGGGAAAACGTTATTAAAATACCTGCCAGTAAAATACATGACCCAGGAAAATCCCCCCCTGCGCTCTTCATTCATAGCAAAGCAGCACAAAAATCAAAGGTATGACTGCTCTGAATAACAAATTAAGCCCCGCAAAAGCAACCCCAGAGGGCAAGAACTTTTCTGAACAGATCAGGAGAAGTGTAAGTGCTTCCACCCTCAGTAGAAAGAGTCATTTGCCCCAGAGCAGGTGCCACGTCTGAGCTTCCATCATGACTCAAACAACAGGGGGATACAGCAAGCTTGTAGATTATGCAACTACAAAAAAAGTTTAAAAACATCATGCATAAATTTAATGAGGGCACCGCCCTCAAAAGAGTTAATGAGGACTGAGCATTTCCAACAACTGAGAACTGTTGTGTGTCCACTGCTGGAAAGGAATGGAAAAACAAGAAGCAGACAAAGCACCCTGAAAGAGGAGATATGACAGATACGAGAACATCCTTCTCAGAGGAGGTGAAGCTGCTCTGAAATATTCTGTTTCAAGCCCGCTTTCTTACCTTTAAGGCTACTGAGGTGCCACTCCTCAGGCCGTCCAAGATAGGTTTAAAGCGTTCCACTTCATCCATTTCTGCTCGTTCTGTCAGTGCCCCTAGAACTTGCTCATACCTACATGACAGCAAGGAAAACCAATCAGTACCAGCTGCTCTAACAGAACACTCTAATCAGCATTTCACTCCCATTTGATTTAATGACACTGATTTTGGTAACATGTATAGGATTGTAGGCTCTTTAATACTCTCTCCACTGCAACCACATGGAGTCCACAGAGGCAAAAGAAACCACTATTGGTGGATCAGATGAACTTCTATGCAGAGTGAAACTCTTGTTAGAATACTTAAGAGCCCCACTCTGCATTTTACAAAAAGTTCAGAGCATTCAGGTTTGGTGGAAGAGGAGAGTGCTGGGCCAGGAAAATTTTGTGAGGCAGAAAACTTGAGGCATGGGACTAATAGTAGCTGTAATAACAAATTATGTGAGAATCTGATGAACTCTACATTTATTTAAAATTTTATACATATAATGTTAAAAGCAAACAGTCAGAAAACTTGTGAAAGGCAATTTCCCCCTTCTTTCCTTTCTTCCACAGCCCCGTGCGCCATGAAAGAAAGAAAAAACACACACCTTCACCTGAGGGTGAAGAACCTGCCAGGATGGCTTGTGGAGTGGAGGGCAGGGTTCAGTTAAAGAAAGAATTGCCCAAAATTAGGTTCTCCTCCTATGTGCACCTGTATGATGGAAGCCACTGTACTGGTTACATGCACATAAAGATAGGTAACCTAGCAATAGCCTTCCAGTTTCTGGTACATTTTGTTAAGGGCCCCGGCTGCCAAACATGCCCAGTCCTCTTACATAGTGCATTTGAGCCAGAAGGTAAACCACCTACAGTCACTTACATATCCACAGGCTGAGGCAGAATGCAGAGTGCAGAGAGCAGTCTGAGAGCATCAATCATCATGGAAGGGACTTTGGGATCAACGGCTCTTGCCAAAAGCAGAATTCCCTCCTCTGTTTCAAGCATTGTCTTAATGCCAAACTGAAAAGAGAAAACAACACTCCCATGAGACACATATACTTCCTGGACAGTATGGTCTGAACGGTGGTCTATGCTGAAGAATAAAGTAGCACAACTTCACAAGAGTAGACTAAGGAAACTGAATGGGAAAAGAAAGGGGAAGATCCTAGACAAAAGAGCAGAAATGTATAAAGGAGATGTGGAAATTAAATTGTTCATTCCTCTTATGCTTAAGAAATGTCCTGTCAGTCCTCTCAATCTTGCATATATTCTCTTTCCTCTTTTAAAACATCTAAAAACTGCTTTTCTACCAAGTTACCATTTAAATGGTTCTTTCAGTGTTTTCCTTTTCTCTCCCTATTATTCTGCTGCTGACATTTTCCAGCAGTTTTATTCACAGTAGTCCTCCAAAATGTCTCTTGCAAATGATGACGTATTTCATTGCTAAAGCTTAATGCCTTTTACTTCTAAATGTTCCCTTTCCATTTAACAATGTTCAATTTTGATTCTGGCTTTGTCTTCATTTCTATTAGAACCTCCCAACAGTTCTTAGTATCTGCGCTCCACAAAGCTTTTCCTAGAATATTTTCCCTTACTATCTTAATCCCTCTGCCTCACTTCTAACTTTTTAACCTTTAACAAAAACAACCAAGTCTAGCAGAACTGTGAAGCCTAGCAAGTTTTATTTCATGCAAGCTTTCAGAGATTACAGTTGTCTTCCTCAGATACATGACATCTTATGCCAAATAAATCACACTGATTTTCAAACATGTCACTGGGCTCTGCTGTTTTTGCTGCTACCGATTATGGACTAACACAGTTATTCTTCCAGAAATCTTGTCAGCATTCATTATTCTTTTTCTTAACTGATGTCTGACAACTGGTATCTTTTTCTTATTGGTCATGATCCTGAAGTTTAGCATTGATAAAGCTATGAAAAGACATCTCAGAGTTTTTTGTTTGCTTGTTTGCTGCTTACAAAGTTTCTGTGTACAAATGAAAAAAACTTATCCGTATCAGCCAGGAAAAGAGGAGCATATGCTCCATTATTTGGATTTCTGTTTTTCCTGTTTCTGCCCTTGGGCTTTCCCCTCCCCCTTATCTTCAATGTTGCTGCTTGTTCACTTGACTGTTCTTCATTCTGATCAAATTTCTCCTATTTTATTCTACTTTTGGCTTCCTCTTTTTTCATGTCCAGACTGAGAATTAGATGCTCCTCTGGCCTCTCTCTCTCTTTCATTCTCTCTCTCTTTGTGAGGGGGGCACTCCCAAATACTGAGAAATATCTGCATCGCATATTTATCTGGCTCATTCAAGACCTTAAGTATTTCTCTCATAATAGTCTTAAGCAGACTTCATAATTCTTTCTCTCTCCTTCCCTTTTGTTTCCTGAGGCACAGATTTGCTTTTTATTCTACTGTAATCACAGACAATGACATCAAATAATAAAATAGACCAAGGAGTCTAACATGTGCATGAGTCAAAGGCTCAATGTGAAAGCCCCATGGCATTATGGAGGTGAGGGCTGTCCTGATGGCCCCAGTGTGATCCTGAAGCCTCCAAGTGGAGGGTGCCCTTCCAGCCCACCCTGGTCACATTTTAACACCACTGAGGTGTTAAAATGTGAGCACAAATGCTAGGACATGAAAAATGATGAACCGTGCCAAAGTAAGATGAAGCCAGAGGAAACTCTGGTGGAGGGCTATAGAGGTCCAGAATTGGAAATGTGTAATTTGATTTGGATATGAGGCTAATGGTTGATCAAACTACCTAAAACATGGTTCCCTCTGAAGTTTCCTGCAGATACTTGGTGCTTTTCCCTCTTCCACAGTTTTATCTGGTAAAGTGGAACCACTACACTTAAGGCTCAGCTGCCACCTTCACTCATTTGTTGCTTGGTTTTCTACTATGCACTTGCTGGTTCTTAAAAACTGGATATGGCAGTGCACAAACATCTGTAGGCAAAAAACCAGGAAACTTACCTTATTGTTCATGAAGGCTTTTAAGCACCTAATGATCTCATGTTCAATCCGAGTGTCATATGGCCTGAGAAAAAGAGAATAGCAAATAATGGCTGACAGTTCAATGCAGTGAAGTATCCCTTTCCCACTCCAGCATGACTGACTTGAACATTGTGGAGTCTAAGATCATCATTAAGAGCTGCAACAGGATGCTGTTTGGACTTAAGATGGTAGTGAGATGAGAAGAAGAAAGCTGTTCGGATAAAATTATTGCCCTTAAGACAAATTATGCCTTCCCCATCCTTAGTCTTTTCCTGTCAGTTTCCATGGGGCGAAATCTGAATGTCTCTGTGGCGTTCACCCACGTTATAAATATTCATATGCTATTTGCATAGACCAATGGGAGTGCTGGAGGGGCGGAGTCATGAGGTATAAGCAGGAGGAGGAGATAGACATAGATAGGGTTTTGAGATACAGTCGTGCCCTGCTGGACGATTATCCCGTATAACGACGACGAATCCGCTTAACGTTGAAGTTTTTGTGATCTCTTTTCCGACCGCAAAACGATGGTTTAAATGGAGGTTTTTTTGTTTCACGATAATCGGTTCCCTGCTTCGGGAACCGATTTTCGCTTTACAACGATCAGCAAACAGCTGATCGTCAGGTTTCAAAATGGCCACCGGCTGAAGAAAATGGGACCCCTCTGTTTTTAGGACTGATTTTTCTGAAAAACATGATTTTAAAATATGTAAAACAATTAAATACTTAGGAATAGATTTAGCGAAAAATATTCAAAAGATAAAGGATTATAATTATAACAAACTAAAGGAAGTAATTAATAAGAAACTACAAGAATATATTTTTTTTTTTGTTTGACAACGTTTTCGCTCTACAGCGATTTCGCTGGAACGAATTAACGTCATCAAGTGAGGCACTACTGTACTGTAGAGAGATTTGGAGTTTGGGCAGGAGAGGTGGCTGAGATGGATAAAGGAGAATGTTTGTTTAAGAGTTAATAACATTGCTTGCTCTGTCAACACTACAGGTGGGGGTATTCGTATACGAATATCCCCGCACAGGTGGAAATAACGAGGGTCCTCTCACGATTTCGTCACTGCCACTGGCTCCGCAGAGGCTTCCTATTATGTTGTTCTCTGCAATGGATTAGCTACTCTGCAACCTAGCAGAGAGGCTTGTCATCCCATCTCCTGCCAGGAGTCGGTAACCGATTGTGGACAACAACGCAATAGGAAGGCTTCATCGAGCTTGTGTCAGTGGCAAAATTGTGAGTGGACAGTCTGGCCCCATGGGGCTGGACCCTCATTATTTCCACCTATGCGGGGATATTTGTATACGAATATGAATACCCCCATCTCCAGTGAACACCTGTATTAATAAACAATTTCTATTTGGTTCTTTTAAAATAACATATGCCCTGGACCTCGATTATTAATAACAGGTATTGTTGATGAAATCAACTGGTAGCAGCTGAGGAACATGTAGTGTGAGCTCCTAGTTTGGTGAAACAAGCAGGGATCGTGTGGGAATTGTGACAGTCTTCTATAAGGCTCTTGATCAACAAGCTACTTATGGATGACTTATAGATATATGTTCTTTACATATTTGATAAGGAATTTATTTATTGCCTCAGAAGATATTGTACCTTGTTATATTTATTTTAAATCTTCATTCCTGGATACCTTGTAATAATTTTGTCTTAAAAGTTAAAAACTGAATCCTTTTCTTCTTTAAAAGAAAGACCTTTGGGTATTGTGGGTGGCAAATAAATAAATAAATGAATGAATAAATAAATGAATAAATGAATGAATAAATAAATAAATAAATAAAAGGTTTATTTAGCAAATAAGCAACTAAGTAACTAAAAGCCAAAAATATAAAATATATTTGGGATACATATAAAAATTACATGTGTATATACTTTCAAAATCACAGCCTTCTACTATATATTTCTCTAGTTCATATGTGTAAATACAGTGTTGCCTCGCATAGCGATCACTCTGTTTTACGGCAAAATTGCGTTGCGATGGACTTTTTGCCATTGCAAGAGCGATCGCTTTGCGATGGCCCCTATGGGGAAAATTTGCTTTGCGATGATCGCTTCCCCGCGATCATCGCAAACGCCCCCTTTTCGCACAGCTGATCGGCGGTTCCAAAATGGCCACCGGGAAAACAAAATGGCGACCGCTGTTTTGCCTCGCTTTAGAGACACCGAAAATGGCCGCCCCATGGAGGTTCTTCACATAAGGTAAGTTTTTAAGCCCATAGGAACGCATTAAACACATTTTAATGCGTTTCTATGGCCTTTTAAAAATCACTTAGCGATGAAATCCCTTAATCACGTTTTTCCTGGAATGGATTAACGTCACTAAGCGAGGCACCACTGTAATACTTATGTTAGAAAAAAAACTCTGGTTCTATTAAAATAAGAGCTTCTGTTTCGACATTATATAGGTGAAGCTCACTGATTCAAAAATACAAAGAAAACAAGTTATCTATAGCAGGGGTCCCCAACCCCTGGTCTGTGGCCTTGCAAAGACCAGGGCCATGGAGATGAATCTCCTGTGCCCCCCTGCAAGCACGCCTCTCCCATGCACACACGGCCCCTCCCACGCACACACAGAGATGCCCATGCTAAACCGGTCCGTGGAGATAAAAAGGTTGTGGACCATTGATCTATAGTAAAGGCTATTTTCTTAGATAATTCTCATTCAGTCACTTAAAAACAAACTATTGCAATACAAATTGTTATTAAAACATTACTATTAAAGCATAAGCAAGAATAATTGCAAATAAGTTACATCACGTTAGATATTTCTTACCCAATATTTTCCCAGCAAAGATGTCTCCCCTATTTGTAAAAACCAGGTGGCTGTCTGTTCTGAAAATGTCCTTGTAAATATGATGGAAATTTCTTTTTATACAATTGGTGTTTCTTACACAAAACATTTATTTTGTTTAAAAAATGCTACCTTGGTTTCTTTTTAATGAGAAAGGCGGGATAAAAATATTCTAAATAAATATATATATAAAAGTTATGATGCTGAACTTCGGGTGTCCTGTGGGTAAGCGATGTCGGCTTGTCCAGACAGATGTAGGTTGACTCAGCTACCTGCTGAGATAGCTCCTAGCTAAGAAAATGCCCCCTTGGAGTAACTTCCTTAATACCATATTTGGGCAATATAATACATTTTGAATGCTAACTTCCTGCATTTTACATATTTCCCAATCAAACTCCATATTTATTTTTTTCCTTCCAAATAATGTTCCCAAAACCTATTACTGACGTCCTTAGTCTTCCCATGTTATCCATATTCTCTAACCCCATACGAAAACCAAACCACACATCCCATAGAAATCTGTTTGCAGCCATCATCTTGCCTTATTTATCTTAACATTCTTGTTCCAATAGCCACCATAAGCTGCCATCTTGCCTTATTTATCTTAACATTCTTGTTCCAAAAGCAAAATAATCTCATGGAGGCACGAATTATATATCCTCTAAGTAGATCCAAGGCCAGTTTATAGTCCATACTGTCATATAAAAAGCAGGAACATACAGATACATACAACCCACTCTTTACATAAATTCTACTTCACATATTTGCTTACCCAGAAGCCTCATCCTTCTCTCCATGAAATCCTTTCAATATGTCCAACAAGCAGTTCAGGCCTTCAGCTCCAAAATTCTGTACCCAGCTGAAAGAATTACACAATTAAAACAAATCAGAAGATTTAAAACGACTCAGGAGCCAGGATCCTATTGATACACTGGCACAAGTGTAATGTTGCAAACTGGGGCAGTGAACTGTCATTAGTTAACAAATTGCAATTTGTAGTCCTGGTCATGTGCTAGTCATGTGGCTTGGTATACAACAAAAAATATAAGCGATTATTTGCTAACTAGTGACAACGTGCTGCTGCAATTCACAACACTGTACTGAAACTGGCAGGAAGAGTCAACAGGATTCTGGCCAGAATACCAAAATTCTTTGACCACTCTCTGCATTCTCACCACAATTTTGTTCTACTCCCCTGCTCCAAGCATGTTAAAACAAGCAGCCAATCTGGTCCAATCAAATTAAGAAAATACGTATCTGAAAGACCATATATCTCTGTACAAGCCCCAACAAGTAGTATCTTTTGTTTGGTTCCACTACTCTCATAAGCACATCTGATGAGGACCTGAGAGAGGGCTTTTTCTTGAGGTTTCTCTCAGATTATGGAGCTTTCTCTCTCAGGAAATGAGCTGTCCTCTTCCCTCCTTTCCTTCCATTAGCAGTTGAAAATGCACTTCTTTGGAGAGGCTTTTGGAAAGCCAGGAGGTATATGAGACGGGAAGATCTTTTAAAATGTATAGTTTAAAAATAATGTCTACATTTGTTTTAATTTATGTAATAAAAATTTTGTATGCTGCCTTGAGTCCCCAACAGGGGAGAGAGAGGGAATCAAAATCCTATCGAACAAATGAACAAGCCAGGCCTTTACCTCACAGGATTATTGTTAAGTGACACACGCAGAGATTCCAAACAGTTGAGCAGTTGTGCATCTCTGAGACCAGATTTCAGTTCCTGGATGTACATCACAGGAGATTTGGAACTCTCTTTTTGACTCATGCCCTGCAAGAGAGAGAACAATAAGCATCATACTGTATCAGGACACAGAAGGAGGTATGCAAGAGCCAGCTGCATTTATACATACTGCTTCATATTCAGACATACATAGGTAAAGGCAAAGGTTCCCCTTGACATTTAGTCCAGCCATGTCTGACAACAGGGGGCAATGCTCATCCCGGTTTCCAAGCTGTAGAGCCAGCGTTTGTCCATAGATAGTTTCCATGGTCGTGTGGCCAGCACAACTAGCGAGGGAACACCATTACCTTCCCACCGTGGTGGTACCTATTTATCTACTCTCATTTTACATGCTTTTGAACTGCCAGGTTGGCAGGAGCTCGGACAAGCGATGGGAGCTCACTCCGTCACATGGATTTGATCTTACGACTGCTGGTCTTCCGACCTTGCAGCACAGAGGCTTCTGTGGTTTAACCCACAGCGCCAACGCGTCCCTCATCAGACATACATACAACACTCAAAACATATATAGGTTGAATGCTTCACTCAATAAACATACACATGGCTACATGAACATATATGTATTTGAGCTATCTGTACTATGTCCTACGACATTTTGGCATATCATCTTGTTTCCCTATTGCTACTTTAGAGAGCTGCTTGTTCCTCAATATTATTTAGATACTGAGTAAAGTGCTGGTCAGTGGGAAAACTACTTGCAAGTTACCAGACCAGAGTTAAATATTGGGTCAAGACTCACAAAGTCTCAAAATGGGAAGAAAAGACTTAAGTCTTAGCAGACATACCCTGTGACATTGTTCAATGTATTCACTTACAACTTACACATGATGTGCCCATACTATCTATTGGTCTTTGAGACCCAAATCCAGATGGGCAGATGGAATTCCTAAGAGCAGTGAACACTGGTACTCATGCAACAGTGAGCATGTCTGCAGTCTATGCATGCTGACTGCAGATTGTGTATCTACATGAATATTCATATGCAATGGAAAGCAAAACAGTACGCTTTACAGATCAGAGCATCAGACAGAAGACTGTAACTCGTGCACTGATGCTGACTAATACATTTCAAAATATGGAAATTCTGAACCTTGAGTAAAAGGGTTTCTTTTTTTAATTCATGCAAATTTAATAAAAGGACGGCTATTAATCAAAACAGAAAAGGAGAATATGTGTTCAATCCTTTCAAATAGGTGTATGTATGCATATACATATGTATTTAAATTGTATACTGCCCCATAGTGCACAGCATTCTCTGGGTAGTTTACAACAATAAATTCAGTAATGCCTAATTCAATACAAACATACTATTTATATCAACTACCACAAGCAAACCTTACTTTAAATAAAAATGAACAGTTTAACAACTTAAAATCCCAGGTCAATATTAATGAAAGTTCAGTTTTCACGCATATCTTAAGAACATACTGTTGGGATCTACAACTGAGATTTTATATTCCCATGTAAAAATGAGTGCCTTCAGATTGATTTGAAAGGTGGGATGACCTGAAAAAAGTTCAATGAAGATGTTACACAAAACTATGGCTTGAAAAGTTTAACTGTGGCTTTTTGTGATGTTCAGAAAGTTCTTTGCGAGTTCATTTTCCAGTGAGCTGAGAGAGTCATGAGTGGGCAAATATACACCTCTGAATACCTTATAAATATGTAGGCTATAATGCAAATGAATATTCAAGTAAGTATTCAAAAATTATACCGCAATTATATTTTTCATAGAGGCATGTTCAATTTTTAAAAAGCTTTTAATAATAAATTTAGTAGAGGCAATTAACTTATTTTATGCTTTCAATAGCTTTAAAACATAAAAATATTTTACTGTTTGATTAGCTTAGTACATTCTATATACTGTATAACAAAATGGATACAATTAACCAGCTGTCCACTTAGTTTTTAAAGTCAGGGTGCTTTTTAAACTGCAGAAATATCAAGGCAGAGATGGCCGATGGACAACTAAGATTCCTGACTGGAATCATCAAATCTGATGCCGTTATGATTCAGTAAAGTGGATGTGAAATTTGTCTCAAATTCAAAACTAAAAACCTTATTCCTCTAAAGACTTCATTACTACTATACAAAATGGCATGCATAAATTTTATTACTGTTTTATTACAAATTATATCATTATTTTGTATTGTGTCATACTTATGTTCTACTTTAGTCGGTTTGCCTTAGATCCAGAAACACATATACAGCTTGTTTAATGAAGCACTGCCTAGTGCTATAAAATAAGCTGTCATTTAAAGGGCTGGAATGTTGGCTAGCACAGTAGTGACAGAAATGCTACTACAGTAAATGCATCCCAGTTTTGGTGAGCTTTTCAGGAAGCTTACCTATGCTAAAATACCTACTGCATTGTTTTTAACATAACTTGATCTATTCACTTCTATTCATCTTTGCTTGCTCGCTTTTTGTGCAATGTTGCACAAAATTTATGGTCACACACACAAATTAAATGGGATTTGCCTTTAAGAATAATTTTCAAAAACGTTAATACCACCAAAGACTTGACTGAGAATTGAGATCACAGTATTTTATATAACTAAATACAGACCAAAATCTCATTGTGGGCATAACACCAATAATGTTAACTTTTGGTGGTGAACGGCTTCAAGTACAAAGCCAGCATATATATTGTTTGTTGTTTACTTCAATAGGCAAAATATGTTTGCACTGACTTTGTAACTTTATCTCTAAAAGTTACACCGTTTGTGTCATACTTACAGGTTATAGAAACAGAATTTTGGCCAATGAATCATATAATTGTATGGCTGCAAGGACCGCAAGCATCACCAAAGCAGGAAATCCAGAGCTAAACATCCTTGAAAGATAGCCTTCCAACCTCTACTTAAAAATCCCCAATGAGAGGGAGTCCAACACCTTCTAAGGGAATCTGCATTATAGCAGAATCAAATCTACATCCATTCTTTGTTATTTATGGGGTGTGTTTCAATATCCTGCAGGTCTTGTATCCTAAACACTGTTTCTGGAGAACACAATGTAACACTCTACAAGCTAAATACCAGTTGTAGCTATGATTCCCTCAGCAACTTGTTTGCAATCAGTACTTGCACTGATTGCAAAGTATTTGCTAGGACAATTACAGTAAGAGTGCCCACTGAACTATTTCTTGATGATGGTTGTTGTGGGTTTTTCGGGCTCTTTGGCCGTGTTCTGAAAGTTGTTCTTCCTGACGCTTCACCAGTCTCTGTGGCCAACATCTTCAGAGGACTGGAGTAGGAACTCTGTCCATGCTCTGTTGCTGTTTGTTGGATAGCTGAGTATTTATAGCTGTGGGAACAGCTTTTGTCCTTTTTTTTTTTGGAGATAGGGTGATCAGCGTGTTTTTGTTATTAATATTAAATTTAAGTACAGTGGACCCTCAACTTACAAGGGTCCCTACTTACGAAAATTTCAAGGTATGAAAAGCTCTGGCCACAAAATTTTTGTTTGACTTGCAGCCAGAGCTTCGACCTACAAAAGGCAAGGGGAAAGGGGGGGAAATTCAAAGCTACCCCCGCTGCCCTCTGCCTCCCAGCCCCATTGCCCTCGGGGACAGGAGGCAGAGGGCAGCGGGGGTAGCTTTAAATTTCCCCCCCTTTCCCCTTGCCTTTTGTAGGTCGAAGCTCTGGCTGCAAGTCAAACAAAAATTTTGTGGCCAGAGCTTTTCATACCTTGAAATTTTCGTAAGTAGGGACCTTTGTAAGTCGAGGGTCCACTGTATTACATTCCCCCTGGTCCGATGGCCCCCAATGGTTCCTCATGATGAAAGGGATTAGACAAGAGCCATGGGTGCCTCAAGATAGAAATAGGGAATATTTAATTTCCAAATATCATCCCGGCTGGATGACACATGAACCTTACACAGCATTGTCACGTTCCCGCCTGTCCCTTGGTTGTTTCACCAATCAAAGGGCACAAGCTACGTGTCTCTCAGCTGCCACCAGTTGATTACATCAACATTATGTATTATTAATAATAGAGGCCCAGGCAATGTGTCATTTTAAATAGAACCAAATAGAAGCTGTTTATTATTACAGGTGATGAAGGCACGACCAAAGTCTTTAACTCTTAACCAAACATCCCACTTCATCCACCCTCAACCGCCAACCCTCTCTCTCTACCCCAAACTCCAAAAACCACCAATCCTCAAATCCAAGAAGTCTCAATCTTCAAATTCCCATTCTCAAACTCTCCAATCTCTCAATATAAACTCCTCCTGCAGAGACTCTTATACCTCATGACTCTGCCTCTCCACCACTCTCATTGGTCTCTGCAGATAACCTATTAATATCATGACCTGGGTGGACGCCACAAGCATGACTTGCACAAACAGGATTTCAGCCATTGTATGCTAATAATGTTACTATTTTTCATATACACAGCTTGAGATATGCAAATTTGAGATGTCTACACTCCTATGATGCCTACAAATTAATTATTATAAAACTAAAATAATAGTGTTATTATTATAAAAGAAGCCAAATGATTGGTGGCAAAAAGTTGATTTCTATAAATATTCAAGTGTGAAGTTTAAAAACTCCAGAACCTGGTCTGCTCATTTAAAATTCATTACATTCACGGTTAATGTAATGGCTAATGTCACTTTTTTTGCTATGCAGCTGGACCGGGTAGTGAGCCTGTGATACCCCATATTGATTTTACAGGACTAATCTAGTGGCCAAGTTACTGGATGAGATCACCTTAGGGATACATGGAGATACTGCAGTTCTACATTGAGAACAACATAAATTCCCGGCAAGAGTTCTGGCGGTTCCCACACATATCAAAGACAAGGTAGTTGCTCACATAAAGATAGTTATCCACTATTAGCTTAATATAATTTAGCAAACAGGTTTCCTTTTCAGTCCAAATGACATTTCAAATACAGGAAGAGAATTGCACATTATCAAAATTGGTCAAACTATCTCTAAACTGGACTTTTCCATGGCCTATTTGGTTATAAAAGAGCACAGTAACACCCATTTGAAGCTACAAGTTGCTTACCTGATGTTGATTTCCAGACTACCTTCACACTTATGGTTAACAGTTACCCTTATAGACTATACAAAATGTTTACTACCTCTCTTGAGAATATATGCCCCCTTATTTAGCTTTCCCTTCTCCGTATGAATTTGAGAGGCTTTTTACTAAATTTATCCTGGAGCTGATGGAAACCAAGAAATAGTCAATCCAAGATAAGTAGACATTGCCCTGCTGTATGCTGGAAGGTATAGGGAATAATTAATTTCCTTCTAGAATGCCTTTTATTAGACATTACTGAACACATTTTCTCAAATAAAATTGCCTTTTTAAAAAAGAACATATTATCACTTGACATTTAGGGTTGCTACATGTTAAAGTAGCCTTAGAAAGGGGATTTTTTATTCCCTCCAGTTTTAATTCATGCTCCCAGAAACACTGTAGTTAAAAATTATTTAATCAAAATTTAGTTACTTTTCCATGCCCTGTACATCTGATTATATCTTATATAGTTTAATCTTTTTTAAACTTTGCTTCATTGTTTTATTTGTTGTTTGGGGAACAAAAAAAAACTCTCACACAACCAACCCCCCTTCCCAATTTTGCTCTTGCACAATAAACTGAACAGAACTTAGGGAATGTTCAAGCCAGATCCGACAGGTGTGCTTTAAAATCACAAGAGCTAGTACAGCAGTTATCCATGTTCCCTATGAGACCCAAAGACAGGTTCACAAATGTCTAGTGCTGGTATATCTAGCCACAGATAATCATCATCTGGGCCAGCACTCTTATTTTGATACTTCAGGAGAGAAAGTTCTTCTTGTGCAGGGCAGAAGTAGTGCAAGATGTATACATTAAACACCTCGTTGTCACAGACCATGCATTCTGTATGGCCTGCAGCCATGGCTACTGTGACCACCTTTAACTATTACAGGGTGATATCCAGTAGTAAGTCACAACTAGAGTAGGCCCACTGAACCATTAGGGATTGGTGAGTTAAATCCTCTGTCAGTTCCACTGATTCAATGGACCTACTCTAGTTACAATTTTAGCCACTGGAGGCTATCTACTATGAAGACTATTTCTGGATAACTAAACACAAGCCGTGCTTGATGTGGGACCTAAAAGATGACACTGTCACACATCTTACAGTGTGTTGCATTCTGCATGACACTTATCATAGCAGGAGAGACACTTTGTCAGACAAGACAAGACTCTTTCCTGTGCGCACCGGAATCTTGACAACCACAAAGTTAACCAGGGTCAACAGCCCTGGTGTCATTTGAGCAGCTTTTCTTCCTCTCTTCATAACCCACCCTTTTATATTGGCATTCAAAAAGCATGAAGGAACACCTACACACATAATTCATGTGGCAGAATTTATGAAAACATCACAGTATTAATACATGTATGCATTTATAAATTAATAGTATATTGTTTTTCTCATGAAACCAAGAGGTGCTATTTAGGAAGTCAACTTATTCTTACAATTCAGAGCAACTATGTGGGAAATTCCTGGTGGGTAAGAAATACGTATACATTAAACAATCAATATAATCTTAAATCTAAATTAGTAAAGGAGACAACAGAAGCATTACAAAACCAGTGTTGGCAGGTAACCATGTCTGCATGTCTACAGGGAAGGTCTTTGTCTGCTGAAGTGAGGCATATACATATGAGCAGGCAGCCAGGAAAGGTGATTTTTAAAAATGGCAAGCCATGAAGGCTCAGAATGGCTTGTATTCCGTGTTTTAGCTGGAGAAAACAATTCCTCTTCTAGGTAGTAGAAGAAATATTTACAGTTATAGAGAAACCTATTTCCACACCTGAACAGAATTGAACAAAGAGGAGGTAGCAGAAACAAGGTTTGATGCAAGACATCTAAGAGCACTTTTTTCTGGTGTTACCAATTCCTGATCACAGTTACTAAAAGAATGTCAGCTGGAGCATTTCAGGGAAAACTAGGCAACGGTATTATTTTCTGTATGTGGAAACAGAGTAGCCTAAGCTCTGTGTAACACATGTGGACATGCAAAACGCTTTGCTGTTGGACAAGGACTTCCTAATTTGGGCAGTGTTTGCTTCTTTAATTTTTTAAATATTTTATGTGATTTATTCATTTTCATTAGAAATTTTATTTTATTATTTGATTTTTAAGGTGCTATTACATACAACTGCCAAAATTGTTCTTCCCACCTGGAAACTCTGACAGGTTTTGGCAACAAATTGCAATAAATAAGAAATCAGCACGGGCCTTTCCTATTGTATGCCAAGTCATGTAATTTGACACATAACAGCAAATGTCTACACTGACTTCTTAACTTGGACCAATTCAGCAGTGAGATTTACATGGATTGTATTACTCTGGTGTAAAAACACAAAAGGATTTTGGCCAATGAGTGCCTTCTAAACAAAAAGGGGGCACAGTAAAAGTTTGTTCTATACATAAAAGTAAACAAAACAGAAGGAACTTCCAGAAGGCACATTATGTTTTAACAGCATGGACATGACATGACTGCATGGAAAATGGCAAGGAGGCGTTCTGCCAGTTAGGTACGGGGATTTCAGATTTTTAATTTTTTTATTTTTATTTATTCCCGTTCTCTGAATATGCCAGAAATTCCCCCAGTCAGAATTCTGGGACCTGTGGGCAAAACATTGAAGTCCCCAGAGGACATTCAGTTACTCATGTTCCTGCCCTGGCAAGTCTCAATTTGGAGTCACAATCATTCGCCTGAAGACAAATGGGAGTGACTAAGCTCCATGGGAGCCACAAATGATTAGGGGCCTTGTAGTTTTTTGAGAGGCATCCTTTATACACCCTAATGAGTACAGACACTACCTGTCCCCAATCCCTTGCAGCTCCCATAGAGCCACTACCACCCATATCTTTCTCCTTCAGACAAATAATGGTGGCTTCAGACTGAGGCCTGCCAAGCACACATATAAGTACTGAAACTCCTATGGGGACCTATGACTTTTTTTCCCCCACAGAATTCTAGCTGGGAAAATTCTAGAGAATTCTGGAAACTACAGTCAAAAAAATCTGGAAGTCCCATGTATATTGCTGGTGATACAGAGATGCTTTCTGCACATACTGAAATTTTTTTTTAAGTATCGGAAAACAGAAGTGTAAGGGAAATGAGGACCATCACAGAAAATATCACCATGTAGGTCAAGAAGATGCTAGGATGCTAGAGCGGTCAAGAGTAGCTGACAGTTTCCAAGACATTTCTTTACTATACTGCCTTCTCAGGCCAAGTGAAAGTATTACCGTATACCGCTCCCAAATGTTTAAATGCAGAAAAAGATTTTCTCCCTCTCCTTTAGCAGTACCTCTTTCATATGCTCATCTTGTATGGGCAGAAGGCTGTGGATTAATCAGGATGACCCTGAATAACAGCTGTGTAAGATAACATCCGTAAATAGTGTATATTTCTTCCACTATGTCATAATTAATCTATGGAGCTATGTAGAGACCAAATAACAGAAAAAGATCTAATATAGACCAAAAATCTATAGTATGTATAAAATATAATGGCGACATTTGCCAATTAAATGTAAGAATATGCTGGCAGAATATTCTCTCTTTGTTAATAATAAAGAAAAAAACATTTACTTGGTTATGTGATGTAAAAATGTAAAGATGTGTTATCTCTTCCTCTATTTTTTGTTTTATTTTACATAGCTTCTGAAGAAAGCCATAAGTTCAAATTGAAACATATTAGGCAAGTTTAAATAGAAATATAAAATATTTATTTTCTTACATCCTGAGTCTACAGTTTCTTCTGAATCACAAAAACAAAACAAAAAAAGGAATTATTTTGAAACTGTTATCTAGCTTGTAACCACTCCACCTTGCTTTTCAAGGGCAAGAACTCACCGCTTTTGAAGTGTGCAAGTACTGAGAGACCATTTCTCTCTTGATGCCAATGTCCTTCTCTCTTAGAGGCTGTTGCTTTTCCTCATTTAGATTCATATCCACCTATTGAAGAAAGCAGAAAAGAATATATTTTCATACATAACAAGCTCTGTTCTCTTGCCCTTTGCTGCCTTTACCTCTTTACTTAATAAGTGTCTTTTCTCCTCAATTAATACTGGTTTTTAGGGGGAGGAGATTGGAGTCAAGATGTCTTTGTTCCAAGAAACAGAAGAAAAAATTACAAACTCCCAAATCTCACATGGGACAGGGAAGATGTGGGGAGCAGAGGATACAAAGGTGATTTCAGCATATAGCTTTAAGCAAAATGAACTTTCTGTCTTGTTATTCCCAAGTTAAGGTCTTCACAGTCTTCCTCTATCCACTGCTGAAAAAGTTTTCTCACCTTTAGGCAAGGATGCAGACTGCAGGCGCTCTTTTCTCTGTTTGGTTTCCACCATTTTATGACTCAGCTCACCTTTCCAGAGGTCACTAAATTCTGCTTTCCTTTTGTGAATTCATCATACCTTGAAATGGCAAGTACTGAACTGAAACTACTTCTTCAGATAACTACTAAGAGGAGTAGAGAAGAAAGGTGCTTTAAATAACCTACCAGCATTTGTTCAAAGAGGGCCAGCACATCCTCATCAGAGATCTCCTGCAGCATCTGACCTGAGCCAGAAACATCTGAATAGGAAGCAGAAGAGTTCCTATGCGCTGTACTGGGCTTTTCCTTCTCCTTTTTTATCCTCATACTGGTGAATCTCTCAAGCTGATTAAAAGAAAAGTGGAAATTAGCAAAGCTCTCTTTTCTGCTTTCTCTTTTGTTTTTAATTCAATGCATAGGTTTTCTTATGCTTTTATTATAGTTGAATGCTTTTTTTGGCATTATTGATAATTTTTTAAAAGAATAGTTTTTAAAAAATACATTCAACACCCTCTCAACTCTCTATGTAGTGTTCTTTTAATCACTTTGTAACACAAACCATGACAAAACTTTATTTACTCAGACTGGAAATGTAAACACCAGTAGGATTCCTATTATAATCCCCAAGATTGTGTCACGTACTCTGTAAGAGCCAAACAAGGCTCATCAGCAGACCTTAACAGCTTGGGAAATCTACTCAGAAAAAAAATTAAAAACAGTGGTGGGTTTAGCAGACGCTTGAAGGTGCAAAATAACAGATGTTCACATATTAGTACCGCTTAAAAACAAATTATATCCTGACATTTTATACATAAAAAGGCAAGGTTGCTAACTCTACAAAATCTTAAATGATGCCCCTCCTCAAAAAAGAAAATTATGGAATCAAAACTTAGAAGACCACCCAATATCCCAGCCAGCCGAGGAATATGAACCTTTGAATGAAGTTCATGAGAAAGAACAACAGGAAAAGCAATTTCTTTCTGAGCACCCTGATCCCAGGCTTTTCAGGGCTGTAAAAGGTTCTGAGAAGCTTGACTTACTTTGAAACTTTTTTCTGGCCAGGAGAGTGGAAGCATTAATTCCTCCCTCTTGAGAAGGCAGAACCAGTAAACATTTCTCAACAGAGAAGAGTTAGCCCTTACTTCCCAGGTGAACTCCTCCATTGGGCATTTTTCATTGGGCCAAAAAATAAGAGAGGTGCCAGCAAAGATGGCACAAGGCAGCAGACATATGTTCCATCCAGATAAATGATGCCAAAACCTTAGAAATAGCATTTTAGACCAACTGGAGTTTCCAAACACTTTTCGAGAGCACATGAAGAACAGCAAAATTTTTGGGTTATCAAAGCATTAATTACATAAGGTCCATCTAATCAAAAAAAGGGAAATGGAGATTAAAAGCATTCCTGGTTTCCACCATTAGCCAAGCACCCCAAAGTACCAAGATATTAGACCTCATCATAAGGATAGCAGTTAAAAGCAACAAAAACAGACAGTTCCAAAGAAATAATTGAAAATGATCATTCTTACCTCATCAGCCATCACCCGCTTCAGATTCTGTGATATAAGGAAGGGGGGAAGAGAAAGATAGAACTGAATCAGTGATACAATGAAGCTCCAAGAGCAGAAGAGAAAGAGATGGGGAATCTACAGAATAATAAAGCAAAAAAGCAAAGTGGGCTGCTTATATACCATCCCACAGCACTTAACACACTCTCTAGGTGGTTTACAAGTTAATTATGCAGACTACATATTGTCCCCACCAGCGAGCTCGGTACTCATTTTAATGACCTTGGAAGGATGGAAGGCTGAATGAACTTTGAGTCTGCTACCTGGGATTGAACCCCACCTGGGTCGTGAGCAGTTTTGGTTGCAGTACAGCAGTTTAACCACTGTACCATTAGACTCTCAAACTGTAATAGTCATGTGCTATCAAAGCAATTTTAATTTGGTGACCCTGACTCTTTTTAAAAAAAGAAAAAAGATACACAGTACTCAGAAGGGTTGTACCACCTAGTAGTGCTTTGGCCAAGGCTGCACATTTTAAGGCACTTTAACCTCATCAGTGATCTTAACTGCCCCTCTTCTTGGAGGCACAATGGGATTTTGTACTCTGAATCCCTGGATGTGCAGCTAAGCACTCTTAACCACTGAGCAACACAAGCCCTACCTATAGAATGCATTCTATAATGTGCCATGAAGTCAGAAAAAAACTTACAGAGCAGCAGACAGGATTTTCAAGATAAGTGAGATATTTAAGAAATGCATTCTATAATGTGCCATCAAGTCAGAAAAAAACTTACAGACACCCCAACAGGATTTTCAAGATGTGAGATATTTAAGAAATGGTTTTACTAGTTCCAGTGCCCCCATGATTCAAACCCAGGTCTAATGAATCCTAATCTGCCACTCTATCCACTTTGTTTTGTTTGTAGGTTTGTATTTGCCTTAGTGACAGCTGTCTGAGTTAACTGACAGCTGTTCGTGGGATGTATGCCAGGGGTGACTCCTACAGCAAGTAGGAACTGTAAAATAATGTTTATGAATGGGACTGCAAGAAGATTGGTCTGTACGGGTCCTGGCTGAAAGGATTCTGCCTGCATGTAAGAAATATGTGTTGTGAAGGAATTAGGAAATTAATCTGAGAGAGATGGAAAGAGTGAGAATGAGGTGCAGGTATTGTAGTGTAGTCTAATTTTGTGAGGAAAGTCCATACGATAAGAGACTAAATAAATGTGTGTACGTGAAGTAGCTGTCTTTAAAACAAAGGAAAAAAGAAAAGGATACAGTTTCACGATGAAGAAACTGACAATCTGAAAGCTTGTTCTGGTATTTGTATTATTCCTCCATTCACCAATCTTTTTTTAAAAATCATTTATAGGGGCTTTCATATAAATCTCTTATGCACCTCTGGTCAGTGCGGTACCTAGTGTGTAGAATGCCAACAAAGTAAACAAAGCTGTGTTTCATCAAAAACAATCTTACTTTTGAAAGGGAGGCTGAAGTAAGCCCTCACTTTGGCAGTTACAACAGCAAGATAAAAGGGAGACAGGGATAACCCAAGAGGAGTCCCTGTTTATAAATTTCAACAGGTACCCGAACTTAGTGTAGGGGCTTTGGAGTAGTTGCCATTTGTGTAGAGGAACACACCAGTAGTAAAAGTGTATGAGAACTGCAGTACCATATTCACAAGTGGTGGTAAGGAGCAGCAGACAGTAATACCCAAGTCTAAGCAATGAACTGGAAGCTCTGCCTAGACCAATAGGAGGGCAAGAAGAAAAGAAAAGAAGGGAATGTTGAGTTTGAAAGAAGCAGCAGCATACTGAAGGAGGTCAGGAATGTGGAACACAGCCAGCTTGGAAAGCAGGGACAAGCTAGTTGTCCAAGAACTCAATTAAGGCCTGGTAAAAAGAAATGAACTACTATTCAGCACTACTACTGAGGAGTTTCTCAGCAACAAGATGACAAGATTTGCAGAACACTCCTACAGTGATCCTACAGGAATTTGTGGAGTATCAAAATGTGTAAGAAGCACAAATCTATTAACATGTAATATAATAGGCATTAAGAGGATGAAGAAATAGATTTTAAAAGTACAGTAATTAACATCTTGTGTTTAGATAAGGAGCTTTAACAGAGGTACTCCTAATTGCTTTCACTTTTTTTGCTATCTTAATAAATTAGTGGCCAGCCGTATGCATTACAGATAGCAGCAACCTCTCTTTTCCAGACTCTTTCTCATGTCAGAATAGGGAGTGGATGTATGAACTGCAGCCCTCAAGACTACCAGTGAGGAAATAGCAAATCTTATACAGTATAGGCTTAATCCTCACAAACCCTCATACAAAGCACACTCTCTTTCCTGGTGAATGCTGGCACCAACCTTTAAAACAGTGGGAAGAGAAGGCTCTCTACTTCCATTAGGAAAGAATATCATGGGGATATGTGGGTATGCATACATGTGACTCATGATCCCCAAGGCAGCATCAACATCTGGTGTGCAGGGTGAAAAAGAGCTGTGAACCACTGCAATAAAATTAAAGCTCTTGGGTGGCAAGGGGAAGTAATAACTGTCTGCGTCTACACTTCCTTCTTTTAAAACTTTTGTGGTTTTCTAACATTTTTGCATAACACTTCACGTAATTTATAAATTTCTAATAGCTATGCTGATATTATTCATAATTGCCATTTTTCATAGTATGCAATCTGATTTTATATATATATATAAAATCAGCCACCATGTCTGTCTCTATCCTAACAATTCTAGGCAAAACCTGAAATATGTAGAACCTAGCAGAGCTTAATCCAATTAAATATGTAATTTCCTCCCACACTTCATTTTAAGATTGTGACTAAATACAGACATTGTAACTACATCCTGTACCCTCATATTCCCTGCTATTTCCCCTCCCCCACACTCCATACCCTCTATTTTACATAACATTCTGCCTCATGAGTTCAGAAGAACCCAAACTTGCTTATTATTTTGTGAGATTTTGGTTGTTTTTTGCAAAGGTATTGCCAGCTGTGGCCTCTCAATTGTGCCTTAAATATGAAATTTAGCAATGCTTCCCATAAGGATCCTAACCATTATTTGAAAACTGGCAACCAAAAATTCAGCAAAACAATAAAGGGCAAAATATATCAATAAAAAGTCCACAGTTTGATATAAATTTTATTTGCAAACATGTTTCCTATTACAAAAAAATCCTTAGGACTGGTGGCAATATTGTACCACACTATAGGATGTGCCCTGAAATTGTCACTAATTCCTTTGGATTTACTGTAGCCATGCAGATCATTACCAAGTACATATTTATTTATTTTATTTATTTAATTTATACCCCGCCTATCTGGTCGGTGAGGACCTATATACATACATCTGCATATCATCAGGAACCATGTCAGTAACTGATCTAACAAGGTACTTTCATACAAGGAATTGTTCAACCCTGGAACATAGCTAACCTCAAGGTTGTCCTAACAGCTCTGTGATGTACACTTCTACATTGGTGTAACTATGCAAAAGGACTTGACCACTGCCTTTAAATTCACAGCAAAGAAAATTTTGCAAAGACAGGTGACATCTATTTCTCATCTCAGGCCTTGCTACTGTGCAACTATCTCTGGGCTGTGTAACCTCTTACTGTAACCACTCTCGCATCTTAAAAGTTATGTTGGATTAATTCTGGAAGGCAGGTTCTCTTTCCACACAACACTCCCTGCAATTTCCTCGGTCTGCTTCCCTTCTCAATTTTTCCATCTTAGTTTAACATTGCCTCACAAAAAATAAAATAAAACAAAACACAAAAAGAAAAGAATCATCCTCCGCATCAACATGCACAACCTCCTTATAATAAGCCGAGGGCAGCTCTTCAGAGTTGTGATCTAGGCATCGTAAAAGGGGACACAAACACACCTCAGCATGCTTCCCTTCTCGAGCTATCATGAACAGGAAGAAAAATGTCTTTTTAAAAAGCCATCATAGTTTAAGGGATTGCAGAATTAGCTTTGAGTGCAGGTTGTACTCCATGTGTCCTAAAGCATCCATTGAACCATGCATTTAAGAAACTATGCTAGATTTCCTCTATAATACAGTATAAGTCAGCACACATTCCAGCTTGTTTAAAAACTTTTTAAATCTACAGAAATTACTAAAACAACTTCATATGGTAATCATTTATGACAAACATAATTGTCAGGAGAGATGGTAAAGTCACTGCGGCAAACCACACAAGATACTATACTACCTGCTTATACCATCCAGCTTCAAAACTCATATTTGCTCTACATGCTATTCTTCTAGTGGAGCTTCATATTTCCAAAGTCATCTGCAGCTTAGGAAATAGCTAAGAAGCTTAATTAGGCAGACTGGGGAGAAAAGATTATGAATAATGTTCACTTCATGCAACAAGCAGTTTTAAATGTGCATACAACACACCTACTATGCTTGATAAAGACATTTCAACAAAGCCATCATGTACACTGCAACAAAGTATGACTTGATACCTGACCAAACATTTATGCAAACTTAACATTCAAAAGCATAAATCCAAGAAGCTAAAATGACATTCAGTTGTGCTTATCTTGGCAGCAATCTACATACACCACAGCATTCCAGAACAAAACTTATACAGTACAATCTGAGTAGTGACTACAGTACAGCGGACCCTTGACTTACAGACGGCATGACTTACAGACTTTTTGAGTTACAGACTTCTCTGGCCGCAAAATTTAGGTTTAACTTCCAGACTGAGATTTGACTTACAGACCAGAAAAAAACCAAAATGGAACAAAAACGGCCTGTTACGGGATTAATCGGTTTTCAATGCACTGTAGGTCAATGGAGACTTGACTTACAGACTTTTTGACTTGAGAACCTCCTTCCAATACGGATTAAGTTCTCAAGTCAAGACCCCACTGTAGCAAAATATACAGTAAAGGGGGAGGGGGTGCAATGAACAAAATATTGTTGTGCCTTAAGGCTAACAGGTTTATTTCACTGTGAGCTTTCGTGGAGCAACATTTTGTCCTGTGTCCCCAGCTCCCTTTTTTCT